AGGTACAACACTCGAAACACGAATCTCGGAATCGCTCGGGGAAGAATCTTCCGATTTGGTGGCGGAGCAGCAATTGCAAAATCCAAATGCGGCGGAGCCTGGTCCTAGGGTGAGAAAACGACGTCGTAGGAAACGTTTCTTCACGGAGATTAACGCGAACCCAGCTTTCTCCAGAAACCGCCGTAACAGCGTCGGAAAAGAAGTGGACTCCGAAGCCCTAATCGCAATGTCTGTAGGGTTTCCAGTGACTTCGCTCACGGAGGAAGAAATCGAAGCCAATGTGGTTTCGATCATCGGAGGTAAAGAACAGGCGAATTACATCGTTGTGAGGAATCACATTATTGCCTTGTGGCGATCTAATGTCTCGAATTGGCTTACTAGAGATCACGCCCTTGAGTCTATAAGAGCCGAACACAAGACCGTAGTCGATACAGCTTACAATTTCCTTCTGGAGCATGGTTATATCAACTTCGGGTTAGCTCCGGTCATCAAAGAAGCGAAATTGAGGTCTTTTGATGGTGTAGAGCCGCCTAATGTGGTGGTTGTTGGTGCGGGTCTTGCTGGTTTGGTAGCTGCTAGGCAATTGTTGTCGATGGGGTTTAGGGTTTTGGTTCTTGAAGGTAGAGATAGACCGGGCGGGCGGGTTAAGACTCGGAAAATGAAGGGTGGTGATGGTATCGAGGCAATGGCTGATGTTGGCGGAAGTGTTCTCACCGGGATAAATGGGAATCCGCTTGGGGTTTTGGCAAGGCAACTCGGTTTGCCTCTTCATAAGGTTAGAGATATTTGTCCTTTGTACTTGCCTAGTGGAGAGCTTGTTGATGTTGGTGTTGATTCTAAGATAGAGGCATCGTTTAATAAGTTATTGGATAGAGTTTGTAAGCTTAGACAATCGATGATTGAGGAGATTAAATCAGTAGATGTACCGTTGGGAGAAGCGCTTGAAACTTTTCGAATGGTTTATGGGGTTGCCGAGGATCCGCAAGAGAGAATGCTCTTAGATTGGCATTTAGCAAATTTGGAATATGCAAATGCTACATTGTTAGGGAATCTGTCAATGGCGTATTGGGATCAAGATGATCCGTATGAGATGGGAGGTGATCATTGTTTTATCCCAGGTGGGAACGAGATATTTGTACACGCTTTGGCAGAAAATCTTCCGGTTTTCTATGGGAATACCGTCGAGAGCATCAGATATGGAAGCAACGGGGTTATGGTTTATGCGGGCGACAAAGAGTTCTACTGCGATATGGCTCTTTGCACTGTTCCGCTAGGTGTTCTGAAGAAAGGTGCCATTGGGTTTTATCCTGAGCTTCCTCAGAAGAAGAAAGAAGCGATTCAGAGATTGGGATACGGATTGTTAAATAAAGTGGCAATGTTGTTTTCGTATAACTTCTGGGGCGAAGAGATTGATACTTTTGGGCGACTAACCGAAGATTCGAGCACGAGAGGAGAGTTCTTCTTGTTCTACAGCTACTCTTCTGTCTCTGGCGGTCCATTACTTGTAGCACTTGTAGCTGGAGACGCTGCAGAAAGATTCGAGACAGTGTCGCCTACTGAATCCGTTAAACGGGTTTTGCAGATACTACGTGGAATCTATCACCCAAAAGGAATCGTTGTTCCTGATCCGCTTCAAGCCCTCTGTTCCAGATGGGGACAAGACAAATTTTCATATGGATCTTACTCATATGTTGCAGTTGGATCATCAGGAGATGATTACGATATTTTAGCTGAGAGTGTTGGAGACGGAAGAGTGTTCTTTGCAGGCGAAGCGACAAACAAACAATATCCAGCTACAATGCATGGGGCCTTTTTAAGCGGAATGAGAGAAGCAGCAAACATACTTAGAGTTGCTAGAAGAAGAGCATCAACATCGGCTTCAAACCGTAACCACATCGACA